TATTATGCCAAATATTAGGTTGGCAAAACCATGGGAGTCAACCCACAATCTCCCCAATGGTGGGAAGACATGCTTACTATTATGCCAAATATCAGGTTGGCAAAACAATGGGAGTCAACCCACAATCTCCCCAATGGTGGTAAAACATGCTTACCATTATGCCAAATATCAGGTTGGCAAAACCATTGGAGTCAACCCACAATCTCCCAAATGGTGGGAGAACATGCTTACCATTATGCCAAATTCCAGGTTGGCAAAACCATGGAAGTCAACCAACAATCTCTAAAATAGTGGGAGGACATGCTTACCATTATGCCAAATATCAGGTTGGCAAAACCATTGGAGTCAACCCACAATCTCCCCAATGGTGGGAGAACATGCTTACCATTATGCCAAATATCAGGTTGGCAAAACCATGGGAGTCAACCAACAATCTCCCAAATGGTGGGAAGACATGCTTACCATTATGCCAAATATCAGGTTGGCAAAACCATGGAAGTCAACCCACAATCTCCCCAATGGTGGGAGGACATGCTTACCATTATGCCAAATATTAGGTTGGCAAAACCATTGGAGTCAACCCACAATCTCCCCAATGGTGGGAAGACATGCTTACCATTATGCCAAATATCAGGTTGGCAAAACCATGGAAGTCAACCCACAATCTCCCCAATGGTGGGAGGACATGCTTACCATTATGCCAAATATTAGGTTGGCAAAACCATTGGAGTCAACCCACAATCTCCCCAATGGTGGGAAGACATGCTTACCATTATGCCAAATATTAGGTTGGCAAAACCATTGGAGTCAACCCACAATCTCCCCAATGGTGGGAGAACATGCTTACCATTATGCCAAATATCAGGTTGGCAAAACCATGGGAGTCAACCCACAATCTCCCCAATGGTGGGAAGACATGCTTACTACATTTGTATTATGCTGCAAAATATCAGGTTGAGAGGATATGCAACACATTAATGCAACAGTTAATAATAAGCCCAACACAGGAATTGATTCTTGACATAACTTGATACATTCTTCATACATAAATAAGATCATATTTTGTTAAATTCAAATTTGACCAAATAGATTCTAAGAAAACATAAATATTACAGTCCCTTTCCTTACAAAAATGAATGATATGAATATAATTACATTTTGTAAATAAAAGTACATATGTTTGATTGTATTGTATCACTGGAAAAATAAGCTTCATTCATATGAAACTTGCCCAGTTCACATGTAGGACTGGTAGAAAATGCAGTACATTGAATCTAATCACAAAAAACAGTTGCACTATTGCCATACCAGATTTAAACAAAATCAGTGGAAGCATGTCTGCAATTGATCATGACATGTTCAAACACATGTACTTTGGACAAAATCAGTCAATGTACATCAAAAGAATGGCCAAGGCAAGAAATGATTAATGTTGATTTTAGTGTTTTTAAAAAAAAATGAGTGCCAATCAGCCAACGAAAATATGTGAAACAAAAATCATATCGATTTGCATATGAAGTCCATTATGACTTGTATTTGTGCCTACTTTGAACAAAATTGGTCCAAGCAAGTACACACAATTATGTCGAATGGACTAATGAATGAAACACAAATAACAAGTTTCTTTTTTTGAGAAATAAAAAATAAAAAATGTATATGCAAATGGAATCATAAGTGTACATAATGATGGTGGCTAAGACATTTTTGATGCAAGGATGAACTATTTCCTTGTAACTGGCTAGGTCAGATTTGTTTGAAAGAATCTGGTTGCACAATTCGAATATCATACAAATTATTTTAATATTGTGCTCTTAAACAGGCAACAATACATTTCAAAAGATAAATTAAAGTAAGAAAAGTCATATCCCAAAAGCAATATCAAGCTAAAAAGACAATTAAAAATATACAAACAAGCAAGGAAAGATTTGGAGAAGAGCTTAGAATCAAATATTTGTTTGGTTTGCAAGTGTCATAAATTTAGTTTAGGGGCTTATATTCTGACTTTTATGCTTAAATGTAACAATGGATCAACTGTTGCCTGGTTGGGTGTCTGTTTAATAATCTGATTTTGTTTTTCTTTGAAGCACATTAATTATCCATAAAAAAGCTATCTGAACATGTACAAGTTGACAGCTGTCCTGACCATGGGCAACATAGCATGATTAATTGATAGTGGGTCAGACAATTGTTAGTACTGATAATTTAGATTTTACTCACTCTTTCAGTTTAGTGGATATTGAATTAATTTAAAATAGATAAAATATGCAAATAACCTCATTACTCTATTGACTCATTCCTCACAAAAATTTTTTACATATATTTGAAAAATGTAATTAAATATGCAAATTAGCTTTTTATACAAGTTCGTCCTTTTAAATAATCAAGCATATTTCTACAGTCTACAGTTTGGCCAAATATGGCTAATGGTGTGCAAGATTAAATTAAAAATTCATTAAGCTAATTAGGACGATGAAGCTTATTTTTTTTCACTTTTGACATATTCATATGTCCTTGAGTTACTACTGCAATATAACAGAAACATATTAACAAATCCCTAATTGACACTTAAACTTGCAAAATTGTTATTAATACAAATTATTATGCAAATGAGATAATAAATATGTGAAGATTTGAACCATAATCTAATAAGGTCTGATCTTCAGATTATCCCAGGTCACTAACTAACAAATTCTTCAAACATATTGCAGATATATAGATTATATTATAGTTGTAATTAAAAACATTCTGAGAAGTAATTTTGAGTGAGGTTTTAGTAGACACACAGTAACAAACAAGGAGATTAAAGATTTCTCATAAACAAATTTATCAATTTAAAAATTGTACATTCTTTATTTTTTTAAATTGTGGTAGGTACAACAAGTAGTTTCAGAATAGAAAATAAAAGTGTAAAAACATGGTATCCAGACTTTACCTGGTTTGAGTACAGGTCTTAATTAATCTTTTCATGTACTGTAAGCAGGTACAGCCAGCCACTGGATAAATAGAAAAATTAGAATTTAAATAACTAGCAGGTGGGTGAATAATATATTAGTATTCATCCAAACACAGAGCATATTAATAGTGGAAATATTGTCACAGTTGCTTCTTGACCCAAGAAAGATAGTTCACATATGATTTAATGTGAGGCATTTACTAGGAAATACTCTATTCATTCTAGTGCCCCTCTCACAACATTTTCTCTAAGTGTTCATTTCAAGCTGTTTTTGCAAGTGTTCTTGCATATTTGCAGAGTGGGTATTGTGCGATTTAAAATAGATAAAGGCCAAAAACCTTGTTCATTTCCATTTCACACAATCAACTCTTTCCTAGTGTCACATTTTGTGATGATGATTAGATAAAATTTACTCAGAATATGATCATTATGTTGTACATTACCATACATGGATATTTTAACTACAGTACCTGTTATCTTATAGCTCCTTGTCCATACCTACAAGTAAATGTAGTTTAGTCAGAGTATGATTTTTGACACATGCAAAATGATCAAATAGATCTGACGAATTTAATAACCCTGGACCCTAGTGGTTGGTGGACAGTTCATGGTCACACCAAGTTGACTCATTGTGACTCACAGACAAGATGGAGGTACATTTCAATCAAATCCAGAAAAAAAAAAAACCCAGAAACTATCCCAGATATAACACAAATAATTTGGGTTTTCACCAACATTAATATGTAATACTAATAAACCAGTGTTGGAAACCAAGCTGTATGATTTAGTTGAAGGGCTTAGTGTATCACTGGACTGTTGGTCAATCTTAGAATAGTTCCTTATCTAAGATATTCGTTTTTCATAGCAATATTACTACCACAGTCACTTGAAGGCTGAAAATATCCAAATATCATTTTTGATGATTTTTTTAAATTAAGAAATCAGGAAATTTTTTTAAATAATAATAAATTCATAATTCAAGTGAATCAATAGGACTTATTATTTGTGGATTTTCAGCACTAAAGTGACAGCGGTAGTTACCCCCAATCTACATGGATCAGATACAAATAGCAATCTTTCAACCGTCGATTATGTGTATACTCGCCAGGTTACTTGTGATCTACTGGTATACATATACTGTATACGGTACAGGTGTACACAAGGTGTGGTCATTGTTAAACTCATTTAGTTGAAAACCTCCACACCTAAGCTGTCTATTTATGCGTCTTGACATCATTCAAAGAAACTCAAACATCACATAATCAAAAGAACAAGAACACAAATTGAATATTGTTCACCATTCTAAGGAAATTAAAAAGACGAACTTCGTCACCTGCTTACCTTTCAGCAGTGGTAGTTCAACGCGTCTCGTTTCCGGGTTTAACACTGTGTTTAAAGTTTGTGTATTACGTCACAACTATGTGCTCTTGGCAGAAACCATTTTGGTGTCTGCGCAGAAAAAGAAACTGTAAAAGACATTTTTAGTCATTTACGAATAGTTTGATGGTTGCACGTACAGATAGTTTTTCTATGACTTGTTAGAGATTATAAATGACCGGATTAAAAAAATGAACTTGTACGATCGTTATATTTAAACCCCCCATTTTTAAATGCTGTAAGCCAAAAGCAGTCATGCAGAAAATGATGACGTACTGCACAGAACAATTTCAAAATGGCTGCCGCAGTGTCTTGCGGCAACATCCGCTGTCAACAAGAACGCCGGCAATTAAGAAAAGAATTGGAAAGAGGGAGGAAAAATCTTATCACGACAATCGGTAAGTATTGTTCTACCAGACTGTTAAGTTTTTTGTCAATTTCTTTGCTTGCCAAATTAAATTAATTGCGATAAATTTCACTCGTTCACGCTTTGTTGTTTTTGCTGGCTTAGCCAGCCATTACAAATCATGCTTCCACCCCCACCGGAAGAACTTGATCGACATCGCAGACGATGTTTTTGGAAGTAATTGTTTTGACTTTTTACACATCTTGGTTAAGTTCCAGCGCGGAACTAACACATGTCTCCTAACGCCTGTCATATAGTTCGGCTGGCGTTCATTTGTCAAATTTATTCAGATGATTGTGAACGTGTGCTGATCACCGAATCCAAATGGGAGGCACAGTAAACAGAAGGGACCTTGAACAAAATGGCGTCGTCAAAATTTCAATTCAGACACCCCGACTTTCGCTTTGCCAAATATCTACGACCCGTTTTAGGGAAATCGCATGTCGATATCGCGGTTTCAGACGAATTCTATAAGAATTTTGTCGTCTGCAAGCCGATTTGGCAGCTGACAGGGTCGTCGAAGATCTGAAGTGCGTCGCGAATTTCGGGAAAATTGCCCAGCCCCGCAATAAATGACAACGGGCAAATTATCATATTTCAGGTTCATTATATATGCATGTATCACGCATATTAGGCCAGTCGCAAAAAAATCGGTATTATTAAATGCCGCCGTCTGCTTTAAATTACCGGGACGTCTCCAATATTTACTATAGAGTTTATGGTAGATCTTAGGTGCTCGACACCGTCTTCATATATTATTATGGGATATCGGAAAATTAGAGTCGATGGGTTTTTAATTGTGACTGTAATAATGCAAATGGCCGTTGATTAGATTACACAACCAGTGTTCTAATTTATGCAAATTGTGTATCTTGACTTTTGCTATGGTAGTGTGTGGTTTGTCTGCATAGGCAGTTTCCAGAAGTATTTCCTGGTTTAGCTGGGGCACCACATGCTTTGCTCCGCAACTCTTTTGACTGAACATACCCGTGAAGGTGATGCCATCATCCTGTCATAGATTTGTATTTATTGATTTTGTCACCTCTTATCATGAATTCCAAGTGCAACTTTTGTTAATTTTTATATGCAAATGATAATTTAGCTCATTATAATAAAAAATGATCATTACCATGTTCGTTAAAATAATTTAAAAAATGAAAGCAATGTTAATACCAGTAAATAATAATTTATCAACTTAACCAGTGTTGTGTGATATTTCAAAAAATTAAATTGTTGTTTTTATTAAAATTAATTGTGGATTGTATTAAAGTGATTTCACCATTGCCATCTGTTGCCCACAATTCATGTATGTACCTCATGTCTGCTATGTAAATTTTGTGATGTCTGTTGATGTGGTTGTTATTGGGGGGGTTTGCCAAGCAACATCAATGGCCCACTGTCTGACCTTACTGTTTTGGGTGAATAGACACAGACAGACAGGTAATATTTTTTTTTTATTATTAATCATGCCTAAATTAACAATAGTTGCATATTGGATTTCACTGTATTATTTTTGATCTGGGGAAAATGGCTGATTAATAATGCAGTAGTTTACAAAACCAGGCAAAAATGAGGATTTTTTGGAGAATGTACTTGTCATTTTGATAATCATTTTGTTGTTACAAATTAAATATAGCAATATTTTTTCGAATAATTATCGCCAGATAATGAAATTCAATAAGAGATGGTGATGAACATAGCAGAGTTTTTTATTATTTTTTCAAAGTTTCAAAATTATTTAAAAAAATTATTAGATTGAACTATTACTTAAATTAAACATAAATTCAACAACTCATTTAACATGGTAATGTCTTCCAAAATAACTTTTGAGGAGAAATTATTTTATCTTTGACAACTCTCATCTTTGTTCATAATATTAAGTATCATTATTGTGGTTGAAGGGGTATTTTTAACTTGACTATTGGGATGATTTCTGAACTCGATCTGACAGTTACAATATGTTCATTGTATTACTGGTAGGATTTTATACTATTCAAAAGAAATATGCATAACTATTAACTTTTGTGTCTGGGTTTTTAATTTACTTTTATAGTATTATAATAATTAGTGCAATAAACTCTGTGTAACCTTTTCTTAAAGATGGTCACAGCTAACCCTTTTGCAGCAAGAACTTTGATAAATTATTCTTCATGGTTGGGTGTTTTTAACAGCATTTCTAATGTTTTCTCCTTAGACATTTAATAATTAGTATACTAAACACATGTCTTGAAACCTAGGGCTTGAACCTAGGTGTTTTGAAGCCACTCAATTTCAAGGCCAATTTTTTTTTAATTCTTTTCATTGATTAAATTATAATAGGAAATATTGAAGGGATCAAGGCAATCAGCTGATTTAAAGAGATTTTAACAGTGGAACTCCCCCTAATCACTTGCGTTAGTTCTTCAGGAGAGCCAGCTCCATTTTCAAAAGGCAAAGGCTGGTTTGGGGCAAGACCTATGTTGTAAGAGTACCTGTACACATATGTAGCAGAGGTTCAATTGTCTCAAAATTAGATTAGGACATTTTGTCCAAAATGGCAACTAGCATCATGGTTCTAATCATTTGCCATATTTGGGAGTAAAACAGTAAACAATTAGGTCCTTTGTCTGAAATTATTTTACAAAATTGAGATATTTTGAAAAAATACCAGCACATTGCTGATGTTCAGTGAGCATCTGAATTTGGTGGTAAGGTAATAAAAGTTAGGAGATGGTTATCCTGCAAGACTTGTCACATTTTAGTTTTTATGGCTTCTTGGTTATTAGTTTTGCTTAAAAGTTTGTTATCTTAATTTTATTGTCTTTAAAAATTAATTTTGCAATCAAAATCATTTCCATTTACGTAAGAAACTCAAGCATCAAAATGCTGCATTTCTGGAGAGAACACAAAAACAAAGTACAATAAAAATGTGTCTTAAAATTCAACAATTAGGGAAGATACCTCTTAGATAATCAGATAATGATGATGAGGCATTGTGAATAGTTTATTGTACACATGCTCAAAAATTGGTAAAAATAGCTTGGTAATATTCAATGTTTATATCTGTTCATTTTTGTGGCGTGTTACAAAACTAGATTTCTATTTTGAAGACAGTTTCAAAGGTACACAACAATGAAGTATTATTTAAATTTTGGAAATAATTCATTGAAGACAACAAAAAGTACCCAGTTAGTCATAATATATGCATTTTTCACCCATTGTCGCCACACAACAATTTCAGAAATGACATGTCTTTACTATGAGAACCAATAACAAAAAAGTTGCACCATTAACTGTATTTTTCACTAAAATTATCCTGAAAAATAGTATGTAGCCATCTAATTTTTTCATATGAATATTCTTAATTTGGATACCGTATTTTATTTTTGAGTATATTTCCACATTGTGCTCTCAGATCATTGCATTAGCTTGTTAAAAGTCTTAGATATATTAAGTGATATATTTGATAGTATAAAAACCATAACCTTTGTAGTAGTTGTTGATGTTGGACCACCTCCTTTTGGCTAAAACAATAATTTGTTAATTTCTTAGAGCAATTTAACCACTAGGCAGGTAGGAAATGAACACATTCAAATAATATCAATGTAATCCACTTTATAGAGTATTTTGTTTGCATGTTTCAAACTTTCTCTCTTTGAAATTACCAACATCATCTTCAATTTTACAATTATTTCATTGACCAAAACCCACTCTAATAATTTGATAACTCAAAAACATCATTCATCTGTATTCATCGTCGTTCTGAATGACTGCTTAACTTAACAGAGCAAAATCCACACACCTCTGACCACTAGTATATGAAATTTCAATAATCAAATAAGAAGCCAAAATGATCACCAAGGTTCAGACATGTTGAAAACTATTGAAATTTAGTCCTGAATTTCTTGCAATTTGTGCAATACAGATCATAAAATATTTGACGTACTAGTCCCAAGACCCCACTAAAGCTCTGTGTGTATGAACGATCTCAGAATGCAACTTTAAAATAATATCAATGTTCAGTAGCTCATTTACATCAAGGTAAATCTCATAAGCAAAAAAAACAAACAATGCAGCGGTTTTCCCACAAACAAAGGAAAAAACGAACATGAAACTAAATAACATTAGACAATTCAAACTTCAGACACATCAACAATTTAAAATAGATTACCTGCGATAATTAAGTCTGTTTTCTTTGCCTATCTTTTCACTTCAGATGATTAATTTTAGGCAATTTGTTTGGTTTGGGGAATTTGAGACTAATATTTAGTGAAGATGCTAGACCTTTTTCATCAGTTATTTTAATATTGGTCCATCAACTTTATTAATATATTATATTCTGAGCTGTTATTATTAGATTTTATGCATTGGCCCTAAAGGTCATACATCCTGGTAATTTCCGAAAAGGTATCAATGAGAATTTTTTATTGAAATTCAAAAATGTATTAACGCTGCAAAAATTCAGGTATAATATTGTAAATTATTGCAGTTGTAGGATATCGTCAGAAAGTACCGGGATGTATAACTGTATAGTTGTGCTTTAGAACTCTTCCATGAAATGTACCTTTTGTGAGCAATATAACTGAATATACGCTCTTTCTATAAGTCACACTCTCTAGCTTTGAAGTGATATCAAAATGATGTATAAAGTGACAGCAATGAAGTAAAGAGCAACAACTGTGGTTGCATTGTTTGTCATTCAGAATGTAGTAAATCTCCAAAATCTTTTTCTTGATAAATGACTATATAGTGTAGATACTGATATTTATGTTTACGGCAAGGTGTATTGAAAATATTATCTGGTAAAACTTGTTTGTGTGGTTGCTTGTCATTTGAAAGCCAGTAGCATTTTGTCACCATTCAAAAATTAATAAATCCACATAATTTTTTCATACTTTTTTATAAAAAATGTTGATCAAAGCTTGTAGCCAGTGGGAAATTATGTCCATGTTTTTGAAAATTTAGAAAAATTTATATTGTAGAAAAATACACAAAAATTATGAAAATGTTGAG